GCATTTTGTTTTGCCTAGGAATTTGTCGAGCAACAATGTATTGACATCATCAACAAATTCATTTTTTGGCGTCAGAATTGCTCGATCTATTAAGAGAAATGGGTAGGTCAAAAAACAACGTATATTTGGATAGACAGTGTTACAAAGTTGTTCCAGAACACAGCCAGCCTCAGTATTTTTGACCAGAAATTCTGGGGGAACAGTAATTTTGTTTTGCTGAACAATTGGGTTCGTTCCATTGCCAACGCGCATCAAATATTGTGCAAACAAAGGGTCTTCTTGCGCACGCATGTTCTCTACCATGGTCAAACGAGAAATATGTGGCCATATAGAGCTTGACCGAACCAAAGATGCAGCAATGAAATCCTCTTTTTTTCCATGCCTCACAATTGGTAATGTTTGCCTAAATTCTCCACCAAAAACAACTTTCCCTCCAAATAAATCATTGCAATCCATAATATCTCTGAGTGTTGTATCAAGGCTCTCAACAATGTTTCTATGTGCCATCGACGCTTCGTCCCAAAGAATGAGTTTGCTACACTGAAGCAGTCTAGCTGTCGACGTTTGTTTACCTATGTTGCATACATATTTGTCCATAGCATCAAGAGGGAGTTTAAATCGAGAATGCGCAGTTCGACCACCTGGCAAGATTGGGGCAGCTATACCTGACGTTGCTGTTGCAAGAGCAATCCATTTCCTGGACCGTACAACTGCCAGTAAACACCAATACAAAAACGTCTTACCAGTCCCACCTGGGCCATCAACAAAGAAAACTGCTCCTTTACTTGCAATGACTGCAACTAAAATTCTTTCAAACGCAGCACGTTGGCAGACATTGAGTTTGTCAATAGCCAACAAATCAGCCGCATCAACTTGCAGGTTCTGTTCGTGAGCAATTTCGCTTGTAATAAGGCTAGGTATATCACTGTCCTTCCACACATCTGCCAAGTTGTAATCTTCAACTGTTTTGCCCATGTCATGCAAAATATTGGCGACCATTTTAAATGCCAGGAACTCTGCTTGCTCTGGCGAGTGTATTCCATTGTTAATGAAATCTTCAGACATGTTTGCCTTGTATTTCATCCATAATGCAAGAAGATCTGAAACATCACAAAACACCAAATGCATCGCGAATAGCCTACGCAGCCCTGATGGCATTTGAAATAAGACACCCTCATTCAACGATTCTTCTAAAATAAAGTCGCCGGCCAAAAGGCCAAGCTTTTCAGCTGCCTCCCGGAAAGATGATGCCATACAATTGTTGACAGTTTTTAAGCAATCAAATGATGTTGGCGCCCTTACATTAATCAACAACAGTCGCAGATAATACCGCTCTCCTTTAGTCGGTGCAATAGACACAAGTCACCCAGCAACTTTAAGCTGTTTACGTGGTTTTCATGACCTAGTCGATTTACACCAGAGAAAATGAGACGGGAATTCTACATACAGCAAATTTAGCAGTTTTGCACACTCATTTGTTAAATTCATTGAAAAGAATTCAGTTAACATTGTACGGCACGATTCTTCCCTACTTAGTATATAGGTAATCCTCTCATGTCCATAGAAATTAATGTACTGAGAATTTTCCAAATGAACCTGCAATTGTATAACAGGCGGTTTCATCTCAGCAATTGCAAACCGAAAAATGCGCCAGGCAGCCTCGGGAGGAGATATCCACCTTGCATTTTGATACTCTTTTATTTCGTCAATAATCTGACTTTCATGATGATCACCCAAACACATGCTTACCCTATCATGTCCTTTATAAATATATTTATAATATACTTCACAACCTTAATACTTGCACAGACCTCAACGTTGATGTGGCAGTCAAACATAAGCAACAGTTGCGGATTATAAGGAACAATCCATTTGTTATCAAGTTTGGTCCCCCTAACAGAAACAGAAAATCCCGACTTACGTCTCTGATAAACAGGATAAGAATCATCAACATACAAAGTTTGACAAGAAAATGGTCGCGGTTAGTTGCTTTTGCAATAAGCGACGGGTTGTAATCTGCGCTTAACCATACAGGGGCAAGCAGGATTGATGACACCACACGGGCCATGCACCATATGTTTTTTAACAAGTTTGTATAGGCGAGGCTAAATTTGTGGGTCAGGTATTTCTGCATATACAAAAACATTGACAAAAGATGCCGAAGCAACAAGAGATTTGTTTCTCAGAATGAGAAGAAAGTGAGTGTTAGGCATGCCTCTTTTTTGAAATTCAATAACATAAGTGTATGCTACTACATCACCAAAGAAAGATTTTTTGGTCAGCACATCCTTGAATGCTTGCAACTTAGCATGGAAACCTCGTGTAATGAGGTCCGACCTGTTTTGTGACTCATCGGCATGGCATAGAAGGTTCCTGATTTATGGCCAATTAGGATTACATATAATTGGCATTCAAAAAAAAAAGGATTACATATAATTGTTAAGAACAAATCAGGTTTTCCAAAGTTTTGTACCAGACACATTGCATCCATATACTAACTTCGCATATACCTAGGGCCTCCAATGAACGAAGACGGAAAAATAACTCTACGACCAACATCAATTCCAAAAACAGCACCAACACCAACACTGTCCACAAGGCCCTGATAGTTATTAGCCCTGCAGAACTGCTGTTTCTGACTGAAATAATCCAGTCGCTGTGTCTCGACTTTAATGTAAATGTCAACAATAAATTATTGGAATAGGCGGCCACTATAGAGCAGCATAGATCTGTCTCCCTAGCGTATCTGAATTTTATAAGCATTGTATTCTCTGCAAGACACACTCTGACGCTTCCTGCCTTCACAGAAGACCGAATCCTCTGCCTTGATCAATTCATCGGCAGTCATTAGATCAGTAGCAGAAATAGATACCGACTTTGTATAGCCAACTGGTTGCACATGACGCGAACGACGAATTTCCTAAATACCCTCATGCCATCCCACATCACCAAGGGGAAACAAAAGCGGATACTGTAACGGATCGTAACAACCATAATAGTACTGAATATTTTGACTACGACCACACCGACGATACACACGAATATGCCTATTTTCATGAATGCCATCAGACTCTTCAACCTAGACAGCTACAACTTGGGAAGTTGTTAGGGGTATTATAAACTCTCTGATCAAGTGAAGGCGAGGAGTTCAAACAAATACTAAACTCATTAGAATGGACAACATTCTTTGGACTCCTAAAAAATCTTGCATATGGATTGCAAGCTAGGAGCTCAACCAATTTCTTGACAGTGGTTTCATTTAGGTGCGAAATCAACCCGAGGCGACTTTCAATCTCATGCTCCGTATCATAAAAATACAATTGAAGATTACGCGGAGGACAACCATCAGGCAACATGTCATCGATAAAATGATACATCTGACCTTGAACTTTGAAAGTATAGACACCTTTATTACGCCTGCAGAGGTTCGGATCAGTTTTATGTATGCTAAGAGATGTGAATGCGAATGTATTATTATACGTTCTAACAGATGCCCTGAAATTCCTGGCCTCGTCATCATTTGAAGTATACATCTGTTTTAATATCATTGGCATCTCGTTTGACACAAGCACAACTTCACCTTTGCAACAACAGAACTGGGGTGGTTCATAAGCGATACGAATTGCACCGCAATAGTTACAATCACGGACAGACGGCAAAGTCAGAGCTTCAGTTGTATCGTACTCCCAGTGGATAAAGGAGTCCAAGAAACAGAAAAGAAAACCCCAGTCGTACAAAGACAATTGTATAAAGGAGGGTAATCAAATAAATGAATCAATGGCGGTCGTTGACATTGTTAGAATATTTATATTTATAAGCAATATCGTACTCTCAGTGGGTAAAGGAGTCCAACAAACAGAAAAGAAAACCCCAGTCATACAAAGATAATTGTATAAAGGAGGGTAATCAAATAAATGAATCAATAGTGGTCGTTGACATTGTTAGAATATGTACATTTATAAGCAAAAAATCAAATAAATCAATCAATAGTGGTGGTTGACATTGTTAGAATATGTACATTTATAAGCGAAGAATATAATTCAGTACATTTGTGACGGTCAACATTCGCAAAAAAAACACAAACCAGTAACAACAAATCATTCCAGATCGGGAAAACAACAAACATAACAGAAAAAGCAAAATGAAAATAAGTCAACTGCAGCACCATATAAAGACAACCATTTAATTATCAAAAGAGCTAATATGATTATGCACCTGTCTCATGTGCATTACACACAGAAGTTGAAGCCACGCCATTTGATAGGCCAGCAACAGCATCCCATGGTGGAATAGTATTGTTTTCATCAGCAATGTGGTCTTGCCACGTAGTTGCAGTTCGAGTCTTTTTCTGTGCGCGTGCCTCTTCAGCCGTAAAACGCTTTCGACTTTTCTCCATTGTTGTTCAATAAAACTACAAACACACCCATTTTTCAAAACGTAAAAATGCAAAAGAAAACGTAAGCACCTAACAACAGTAGTCATAAATAAACAATGTTACATCCAAAAAAGGGAGAGCAATTGACCTAATCAGTAAAAAAAAAAAATTGCCACTTTTCATTGAAATTTGTAAAAAACTACACAATCAGAATTTGGTTGGAGGGAAAAAATTAACAAAACAACCAATGTCATGTTTTGGTGTATACAAAGTTTTCGGAAAGACAGGCACTCAACAACATATAATCCGCGCACGACGAGAACTAACGCTACGATAAATATCTGCAGCGTCCATGATAGCAGCCGGTGACGGCCAACGATACCTTTTGTTCTGCCGGAGGTAACGATCGAGACTTAGAACGGACAGCACGTTCATAACAAGTGGCAAAGTCCATATAGTCGTTGTCACCGTTAGGGTCCTTCAGCATACAACGACACCATCCAAAATCAACCTCTTTATTCACCGGCTGCGACAGCATTTCGTCCATGCCCGAGGAATGCCCACCACATGCATGTTCATGTCCACGCGTCGGCAAGATCTGCTTCAATGGACGAGGCATGAGGTCCTAATCATTTGAATCAGAGAACAACCAATCCCTCACTGCGCTAGAGTCCTCGTCTTCGCCTGAAGAAACCTCTATCGGAAAAGTCTCAAACTCCCCTGAATAGGCACGAACTTCAGTGTGAACCTGCGCGGGCCGACGAGGCATGAGGTCCTCATCAATTGAATCAGAGAACAACCAATCCCTCATTGGCGTACAATCATCGTCTACGTCTGAAGACACATCTATACGAAAAGTCTGGGACTCCCCTAAATAGGCACGAACGTAATGGCAATCCTCGGCGGCCGACGGCGAAAATGGCCGCCGATTATCCCCACGCGTAATGTCTACGCTGTCGTTTTCCTAATCCATTAAGGGTTAAACAACTGTAAAATAAGAAAAAATGAACAAAAGACGCAACCACGCGGGCAATGTATGCGGTGTGTTTACGGCATAGTTCACAATCAATCCGTCAAAGGCTTAGACTAAGCCGGATACTAACGGTAATAATAATCATAATTAATAAGTAGTAATTAATTAATAATTAATAACATAACTAATACTAATACTTATATAATAATAATAAGAATAATATATATATATATATATATATATATATATATATATATATATATATATATATATAACATAACATAACATAACAATAGTAATAACATGGGACCGATTTTAGACGTAATACATTTGAAGTGTCGTTTCAGTTCGCCCAAATAGACCAACACAGACGACGTCGCCTGAACGTCCACCGCATAAAAACACAGCATGAACCGAGGGCGGCAAACGAGTCCAGACCAACAATGTATCCGGTAGAAGACAACAGAATAAACTAAATAATCGGCGGATGAGCGGTCAAAAAATAGATAGAAGTTCAAACCAAGGGAAGCAAAAAGCAATGTAATAAGGAAAGAAAAAACGCCAGCATTAATTCAAATCTTTATACCGTAGAAGATGTATATAACCAACACGATTGTTTGATGAGTAGGAAATGCTGACCCAGGTGCAACTCAGACTAAACGACGAAGAAAGAAACAAACAACCCAAATAGAGACGTTGTTGTTGTTCCAAATAGAAGTCAAACCCAGCAACATGATCCGAAAAGAACCAAACTCAAATACATTTTAAAAGAACCGCAAATAGATTTTATAACAAAGAGAAAGAGGAGAAACGACCACTGTTACACAAACTCAACGCATTTTTAATTTGTGAATCGAACACCTGCGACGGAGACAGCGCACAACACACAACACATAAAGAAGGAAAAGTTTTCTCCTGAGGAGTGCCGTTACAACGAAGAGAAGATGTATTTCCGCAAACACATAAAGAACGAACACGGGGAGGATTTTTGCGAAGCCGACGTCCTTAAAGCGAAATGAGTGAACACAGTGCGCATCATATGCTATGGTAGTACATTGCGCGATGTGCGCGGCCAGTAAAAGCTAAAAAAAGAGGTGCAAAGTCAAGATAAGTGTATACATGTCAGGACATTAATTGGTCCCTTCGGCGAAGGCGTAGCCAAGAAGAACTGTAGTTAACTGTTACCCCCAACGACTGCCGCATTCACAAGGGAATAATAGAGAATTCAAACAGAACAATCGAGGGTATACCAGGCAATCAAAATACAGGTATACAGGTACAGAGAAGGAGACAACGTGGCTTACTAAAGCGGATGTCATTTACGGGCCTGTGTCGGCCGGAATGCGAACCGAATGTGCCGGGCCTATTAACCGCCGATGCATCGGTAAGTGTAAATGAGTCAAAGCAAATGCATTGGTAAGGGTAAAACCACGATAGATTTTCTCGCGTGTAACAGCGAAAGCACAGAGTACAACCAAAACCGCCTGAAAATGTCATGGGAGAAAATAACTGAGCCTTTATGCGTATTTATAGATTTTTACAATTTTTAGTTTAAAATTTTTTTAAAAATAAAAAATAAAATAAAAAAAATCGGTGGCGCCTAACGTATTTTGCAACCTTGGCCCAAAGTAGTCAATATTTGGGAGTAGAGACCAAGGTTCGAACCGCAGCGACTATGTGAGAATTATTATGCCCAAAATGGACAGATCCCTTATGCGCACCGGCATTTGGCCCTGTATGCTGAGCCATCAATTGTTATGTTGTGGAACTGTGTCCACCTTGCAAGGTGGACACGGTTCTATGTTCATAATTACTGAACTATATGTTCATAATTATAAAGCTATATATTCATAATTATTGGACTCTATATTCACAATTACAAAACTCTATATTCATAATTACTGAACTATATGTTCATAATTATAAAGATATATATTAATAATTTTTGAACTTCATATTTACAATTGTTGAATCTTTATATTCATAATTACAGAACTATATGTTCATAATTATGTTCACAACTCTATGTTCATAATTATAGAACTATATGTTCATAATTTTTGAACTATATATTCATAATTATGAACAGTTTTGGACAATGTGAACACAGTTCCACGGTATAATTTGCCCTAAGCCATTGAGTCACCGTGATTTAGATCCTCCCAACTATGGCTGGAGATCAGCACGGCTACGCTTCTGCTATCATACGAGGTCAGGTTTCTCGTATATTATGGTTTATTATAGTTAGACTATTGTATATCTAACACAATGTTCTCAACTTCCCTCCATTTCTTTGCTAAATCATCCAAACATATATGTTTAATAGGGTAATTATATTGTCACACCTTTACTCACTTTTGAAACATTTGTATCACTATCTTGAGGTTCATGCAATTCTTTTTCTTCCCGTATGACCTGGACAACTTTGCCATGATAAGCTTTTTGCATATGTGTGTTTCTTTTCTAGTAAGTGAAGAAAGAATTGAATTGAGGTGCTTATAAGTTATAACCATGTTAGGGTGGGCTATATATATAGAATTCAATTCCCGTGCGGTGGGGTGTCTCCTGTGTGGTTGTGCAGTTAAATCTAAGTCATTGATCTTGCCTAAATTAACGTCCAGGATTAACAATGATTTTAAAAAACGCGGTGACAATTTGTTCATTTTGCATCTAGGTCAAATTTAAGGTGCGTGATTTTTCTTCTTAAGCAGCGTGGTTTTTGTGATTAAGGTGTGTGGTTTTTGTACTGTGTGGCTTAAGGCGCGTCAATTGTTCAATTGTTAAAAAATTAAGTGCGTCGATCTAAAGCTTTAGATGCGTGGTTTGTGTGCTTAAGGTGCGTCGGCCTAAAGCTTTAGGTGAATGATTTTACATCTTAAGGGGGGTTGTTTTTCTTCTTAAGGTGCCTGATTTGTATACTTAAGGTGCGTCAGTTGTTGAAACTTAAGTTGCGCCATTTTAAAACTTTAGGTGCGTGGTTTGTGTTCTTAAGGTGCTTTGTTTGTGTGCTTAAGGTGTGTGGTTTGTGTTTTTAAAATGCTTTGTTTGTGTTCTTACAGTTTGTTGTTTGTGTACTTAAGGTGTGTCGTATTGTATTAAACGCACAACCGCACGAGAAGCTATCTCCGCACCAGAACTCATTCCTATACACACACGCGCGCGCACACACACACGCACGAATTACAAATATGTTTGGTAAATTAGCTATTAGTTAATAGCTGATTTCATACAAAATGACTTTCTCAAAAAGCTGATGGAAAAAGTTATTTTGAACAACTTTTTGAATTTTAGTGTTTTGAAGCAATAAGCTGTTACAAAAATTAAAGCTTAATCAAACACTTATATTGGAAGAATTAAAGCTAATTAATCAAACACTTATATTGGTTGTTTAACTAAGTCAAATAGCTAATAGTAATCAAACAAACCAAATTAAATTGATTGATGGCCAACTATTTTACGAAAGAGGGCTAGTCATAGTAAGAGTGAAGATAGATGGGTCAGTTGTAAGATAAAGATTTATAAGAGGAAACCATTGCATGTGAATGAGGCCAGGTTTGATTTTATCCTGATCGAACTGCAAGTTGAAACGTCCCTTTTATAAACTAATGAACACGCGCATAGTATATAGTATCTTACTATTTTATAGATGGCCAAAGAAATTGTAGCTATTATCTTTTTTTTTTTTTAATGCTACTAGCTCTATTACAATGTAGTATCTGTTCATATACTTTCTCAACCTACTGAAGCACAAAGAGCTAAAAACGCCTCCACTGATGCTCGAACTCATAACCTTCCAAATGGAAGTTCAACCCGGGTACCATTGGACCACATAGTCCTGGTAATTGTAGCTATTATCTAAGAGTGGGTAACGAGTACATCCAGTCTTATGATCTAATTAGGTAAAAGATCACAAAGAGGTAAGTCAGTCTAAGTTACTCATAATTGATTGGCTCAAACTAAGAAAGCCAACAAGTTGATCTTAATTAATAGCAATCAAATTTGAAACTTTATAATTACTGAACCAACTACTTAACCGACTTGATTGGGGTTACCCCATATCTTACTATCTACATTGACATTTTTACCGTGATAATTTTCATAAATGATGACACTATACTAAACAAATTGATAAATTAATTTTTTACCATACATATGAATAACATTTTAAAATCCATAAAGATCCAAAATTAAGAACAGATGATCAAATGATTGATTCAAAAAGACATTCTCTTCTATTGGGATTGAGCATAATGTTTAAATTAAATAGAGACTAAACGATACTTCCCTTTTTGTATATGACTATGACTGATATATCAAGCATACGTTTAAGGAGTGAGGAGCAGTGTATAGTCTCGTCAGTGGGTACCAAACTAACATGCTGCAATAATGCACAAATTATATTCATTTGTCTTTACTTATCTAACTAAGAATGTTTTAGAGAAATGTTCTGTCAATTTTAAGAATAATGTTTAATAATATAATTAGTCAAATACCGTACACTGCACAATTGAATAAATATCTTATTAAAAAAAAAGTAGTCAAATTATAAAGGAAACATGACAACAGAAATAATTAATACATTGTGAACAAATTAAAGAAAAGTATAAAATCAGAAGACCGGCCTTGTTATGTTAGGGGTTGGCTTTGAGGATCAAATTCAGCATCAATCTTATCATTGAAACATAACATTAACTGCTATACAAATTGAAAATAAAGTTAAATCTTTTATAATAGTTAAAACTTTTCACAAAGTGACAAGCGTTTGATCATGACTCCGGCCAATAATTACAAATATATAGCATTCCAATGTTAATGTATCACAGTTTTAACATAAAATGTTTCAGAATGTATGTTTATCAAAATTGAATTGTATTAACTATTAATTAAAAAAATTTAATAAAATTGGACAATAATCTTTTCACTTCCACATTTTAATTTGAACATAAAAGCTCTTGACTTGTACAAGAGTTCCAATCTACTGATCTTCCATTATATTGGTTGGCAAGAATCCTGTCCAGCTCACTTGGCCTGCAAGGAAGCATGAGTGCACCTTCATGTTGGAATCCATACTCCTCTGCAGCTTTTTCCAACAGCCTTAAAAAACAAGGATTCCTCAAACAACTCAGTGGAACAATGAATCTCTTAACCTTATCATCATTGTCCACCGCCATCACCGTGAAATGCCCTTCTTTAACGTCATTAGCCACATCCTTGGAGTTCTCAAACTTGTCAAAATGATTCGGGGATGACCTCTGATGATCTGCTAAAAAACACTTTTTTTGAAACATTTGTACCATTGTCTTGAGGTTCATGCCATTCTTTTTCTTGCCGTTTGATCTGGACAACTTTGCCATGATCAGCTTTTTGCGTATATGTGGTATTTCTTTTGTAGTAAATGAAGAAAGATCAGAGTTGAATTGAGGTTGCATATAAGCATGCTAGAGTGAGCTATATATATACACAGAGTAGGTGTTAGTAACAGTGAAGAGGCCAGGATAAGAGGAGACAATTGCATGTGAATGAGGTTTGATTTTATCCTCATCAAATTGCAACTTGAAACTAACGTCCATTTTTATTAACAAATAAACACGCGTATAGTATATAAGAGAAAAGAGAAAGCCACACAAGCTTAAAAGAGAACAAAATTAGGGAATAATATATACCACAATGCAAGTACTTAGATTCCTCAAATCATTTTAAAGAAATTGTATATCAAATTAAATAACACTGAGAGTGTAACATGTACTTTTTCACCAAGAAGTAACTACATGGAGAGTAGAAAAATGTCAAATTAAAACATCAAACTCACAGGCTGTTTTTGTTTAGCAGCTCAAGGTTTGACGACACACGTTTTGGTACAGCAGTTTAGCTAGCTAGGAAGATCGATCAGAGCGTGTTACCAAATAGAAATTATTTCAGTTTCACTCGTTATATTTATTGTCCTTTTGCGGTTGTTGTAGCTCTTTGATTGTTTCTAAGGTGAGCTCAAAGAAGGTTGCTGAGATATTGGAGATCAGATGAGAAGTAGAGATGAGAGGACGAGTTTTGAAGCAGTTTTGTGACTATAAAGTTGGACTTGCTTATTCACTTATTAACTATTTTTTTTTTAAAGGACTTATTAACTATTTGAGCAAGTAAAAATACAAAATTAATCTTTTCACCCTTAAGAGAATCGTAATCTAACTTAAAATACTCAGATCACAAGTCACCAACTAATTTTGTCAAATTTTCCAACAAATAAGAAACATATATGCATGGCTAATCATTTTAGCACTAACGCGTGCACGGAGATGTGCTAATTCAGTCCCAAAGACTACGTCTTTGTTGGCAGTCCATGATATGATATGATGTACTCCTTGTTGACCCATGCAATTCAATTCATATCCGAAATTATAAGAAAAACAAAACAATTTGATGAAGGGGCGCCTACCTCAGCTCCTTCTTTAACTCTTGTACGTGCCGGGGAGACAAGAAACAATAGTGCACGGAGTGATATCAATAAGGATCTATCTGGTCGGGGTAAACTGTAACGTTTTCCTTATGTTGTTATTATTATTATTATTATTATTAAGGTCATTATAATAATAATAATAATATTAAGTAAATATGTGGTGCAAATCAATAGGCTGAATAAGTATTAGAACTTAGTCAGCATTAGGTAATTAGTTGCCTACATTGATGGGATGTAGGTATTTAGACTCTCAAGTTCTCTCACTGCTCAGTTGACGTATCATACACCATCTAGAGTCACTGAGAGAAGTGAGAGAAACACAATCAGTCTACGGTGATTTCACAGCAGCCCGAGGAACTCCCGTTCGTCAGACCACGAGTCCAAGCGATCAAGGTTCTAAACTATGGCTGGAGGTTAGTGGATATAATTTGTTTATTTATTGCCACGTATAAAGTGTTCTCTACGTGGATTATGTGCTTACATTTGGTATCAGAGCCATTTTTTTTAATCTCTGCCTAGCCTTTTGATTGATTGCATAATCTACAGTTTGTTTTACATATGATATACATTCTTGTATAATTTAGGATTTGTATGTAATATGCAATCATATTTGTTGGGCTGCTAGAAAATATTTGTGTTCCCTTTTTCCGCATTAAGAATAAAAAAAAAAATTGCAATTGGTTTTTTACGTACTGTCTTCGCCGTTCCATTCGCCAGTGGCCGGATATGCCGGCGGACCTCCGTTGTTGACGGAGGACAAACAATGCCGGATTCAAAAAAAAAAAAATTTCACCGGTAGTTCTCCCTTCATTCACGTCAGCAATGGTGGCCTTTTTTTCCGGTGTTGACAGATGGTTATGTAACACCCCTAATTTTTAGAACTTTTAAAGCTTATGAAATAAAGGCAATTCTATTATAAATTCTCAAACAGAGCATAAGCTAACACAATAGTCGGGGTGCTAGGTCACATCTGAGCTGGAGAACTCAGATGCACAGGTTAAACTATCCAAACATAAGAAATCCTCAAATCAACATTCGATACAACTTAAAGGCACGCAGGCCGATAATTTGAACTAATCTAACTAAGTCCAGGTTCTGACTAGCGCGCTCCGAAGCTAAGGCTCGTTACCTGAAAAACATTCGGTATAACAACCGTCAGCGAATAATGCTGGTAACCCACTCCAACGCGTTAAGTACAGTATAGGTAGATATAAGAAACTCATTTTGAAACTGGAATACATATATACTTAGGAGACTCTAATTTAAATCTGAGAGTAGACTCAATCAAGCAATAACAGGTACTTTCAACACAATTAAACACAACCATAAAGATTCTAGCATGCATCCTAAGGTCACATGACTACGCAGTACCAACCATATCATTACTCAGTCATAATTACACAATCAACAACAAGACACGCAACGGTGTACACACATATGGTGGTGCCGCAGGACCAATCGCATGCCCATACGTGAGGGTCAGTGCATATAGCTCTGACACGGCCCCGCAGCACTTTAACTTGTACCGCAACACAAGGGAATTGATCGCAATCAGATTATGAACCGCAGCCCTATATATATATATATATATATATATATATATATATATATATATATATATATATATATATATATATAACAGCCGATTGTTCTCAACCAATCCAACTGCCTGTATAGTGACCGATCGCAACCGGCCGGGTTAATACCTGGTGGTTCTCAACCCACCAGATAGTTATTATAGCCAATTGATCGCAACCAATTGAGGTATCATGCACAATCAACATAGAAGCCATACAACATGCAACCCACGTTAACACATACGAGGGGAATCATCGGGGAACACTTGTCCTAATATAACTCTTACGTAACAAACCATATTAAACCACTCATGAAACTCCTACGGGATCATACACCTTCCTCCTAGGCCAACGGGATACCAATTCAACTAGCATGCAATACACAAGACTCTTTTATCCTAAGAATGGCACCCGAAACATCAAACTAGACTCACACACGACAAACGGGGTACAATGGGACACAACGGGACACGGGGAAACATCAAACGGGAAAAAACACCATGAACAACGCCAGAATTCCAGTGGGTAGGTGGCGGGTGGAGGACCACCCGCCGCCGGCGGGTTACTATTCTAGCGGGTGGCCGGCGGGCAGACCACCGCCCGCCGGCTGCCCGCTGGAACAGTAGATCCGAGCAGCGGGTAGGTGCGGGAGGTCAATCCCCCACCTACCCCCCACTGATACACAGGCAACTTTATGGTCCCGGGGTCATTTGTGGAACCCGAAACCACGTCCAAACACATTCAAACACATAACGACGACACCACATATTCAATTAACGGAATTAATTAAACAAAGAATTACGACCGATACGTTCAGACACGATTCATAAACATGCCAAGACCTAACACGAATCATACAACGGTTCAGGAGAATCCGGAACCACAAGAACATCAAGAAGTCTACATGCAAGTCCTAAACGCAAGTCCTAGACTAGACTCAACACCCGATCATGCATAATCCCACCCAAATAAACCGAGAACATCATAATACGAATTTCACGATAAACCCTAGGGCTCTAGACACAATCGAAATACGAGATCATCATATAATTAATCATAGCACCAAGAACAACAAGATTATCACATAAACATCAAGATTATCACATAATCATCAAGATTATCATATAAACACAATATCAGTCCTAGGCAAAGCTCTATCAAGACTCTAGCACAGAATCATATATCAAAGGAGCCAATGAATAAGATATAGCGAGGAAAATAGGTTTTGTTGAGACATGAGTTACCTCTTAGCCTTAATTAATATCCTTGGCTACTAAGGTTCTTTCTCTAAGATCTTCTTCCCGTGGGTTCTCCTACGTTTGGTGACAGGGGAATTCCTGGGAATACCTTGTGTGGTAGAATCAATTATGGTGGGATTTCTAAATGCTTCCTAAGTCCTTATATATATTTAGGAGTCCTAACTAGGGTCCGAATAGTAGGGATTCACTTATTCTATTCCTTATAGGACTAAGGGTTTGGTTTAAGGATAAGGGTCCATGGTCCATGGTGGGCCACCTCAATTAATTAAGGGGATCCTGGCCCAATCAAATCCTTTCTAATTATTATTAATGGCAATCCATTAAATAATTAGTCCGGGTTAGAGGCATTAACACGGGGTGTTACAGGTTAGATGGCCGGCTGGCGGAGGCAGCAGCACGACGGGGGCGGTGGTTCGCGTGAGGTCAGGCAGTGGTGGCGGAACCGAGATTTCCCGGTGACGCTACCGCTCTATCTCCTCCTTCAGGCGACCAACGCCTGGGTGCTCGTCCTCCGTCGTCGCTGCTTCATCTGATCTTCGAGCCATGGTTGCTGCTGCGTAGTACGTAGCTGCTAGGTCTGCTGGTTGAAGAAGATGATGATTTATTAAGACATGGGCCGGTCTGGCCCAATTCGGCCAGACCTGAGCTTTATTAAAAAAAAAATCAGTTCTGGGCCTGTTTATTCTTAAGTTTATTGGGCTTCCTGAAATTTTTTTTTTATTTCATCATATTTGGCTTCTTCTTTTGGGTTTTATCCAATTGAATTTTTTTCCTAAAGTTGATGTTAAGTTATTAATATTGAATTTCAGTTTAAATTGTATTAAGTGTTACAATTTAATTGTGGAACATGAGTTATAATATGCATAATCTAAGCATGTTTTTTTACTGTTTTATTGCACTAATTATTTGATTGTTATAATTATGCATCTATTAGAAAAGCATGTTCTTTTAAGCATGAATTTAAAGCCTTTTTAGGTCTGAATTATATGCCTATTATGCATGTTATAGTGCCTTTTAGGTGAATTTAGTGCCCTTTTAAAGATAAATTAAGCATATTATTTTACTTATTCGGTTATTGCTCCAGTCGTGCCTTTCTAAAGTTATA